TGTTACTCTGTAGTAACACCCCTTAATCTTTGGAACTTGCATGGGTGGTTGGCGGCTGCTCTGGTGTGGTTTGGTCCTTCTTTCCTATAAAACAATCTATCGTCTCTATCTCCCCTTCTTCTTTTTTGCGTTTGTCACTCTCTTGTAACACCTCTAATCTTCGGCATATATATGACCTTATTGTGTTGCAAGTACCGTGAAACACTCACAAAAACCCCCCACACAACTTGCATGACCTATTTGTTTTGCAAGTGCCGTAAAACTCTTACTAAAACTAGAACTTGCTCTTGAACGGTTCTTACATGACGATGGTTCCCTAATTTACTGTGGCTATTTTCTTGTTCTCTGTGTCCTGGATTTCCTCCCTCTTTTCTTCGCCTCTGTTGCCCTGGCATTGCTGCGTATAGCTACTTCACAGCGAAACCAACAGCTCAGTACACTCTTCTTCGTGTGCCGTTGTGCTTTTCCTCTAAAAATTCTAGTTGATTGGCATCACTGATTGCTGTAGTTGTGCTTGACGACCTGGGCTGTGTCACCCATTATAGTTGGCGACTTGTGAATTTTGGTAGACGGTGGGAGATCACCCGGGTAGTGACAGGTGTTATTGGTCGCTTTTAAGGACAAGTAGGCTAACCCAGATTTTGGGGGTTTCCAGATATCTGGACCTACACCAAAAGTGGGCATTATCCTTCCTATAGGAGAAGTTTGGTTTCATTGGTGTGTATATTTGTTTGGCTATAGAGAAAACTATCCTTGTCTTTTAAAGAAACTGAACAAGGGGCAAAAACTTTACCTTCGATTTTCTCAAAACAGCATTTTTCGGGATAGCCGCCTTGTGCTTTAAAGCGACCATTTAATGCCCCGCCTGCAAAAACAGTGCATATAGATGATAGATGGGTGGTACGAACATTTTAGCCTCTTCTTAACGGTGACAAAAGTGGGCTTACTTTACTGTTTCTGTCTTCCAATACGGTACCGCAAGATGTCGAGGGAAGGTGCGATATCGAGGGTTGGCCAGGTGTGTTGCTGTTTGGATCGTCATGTTGGATGGCCATAAAAAGGCTAACAAGCACTTATGTAGATAGGACTTGAACAAAAAACAAACAAACAAACAAACAAACAAAAAAACAACACCAAAAACACAAACACCCCCCCCAAAAAAAACAACAAAAAAAAAACAACAACAACCCAAAATAAAACAACAAAACATACCAATAAAAACTGACAAAACAACAACAACTGTTATTTTTCCATTATTTCTGTAAATCTGCCATTTTTAAAGAGGAGGGGAGGATGGTATTATGAACTGGCTTTCTTCCAGGTCGATGTGCCCCTGTCTCATCCAAAGTGCAGTGCCAACAATGCTGTTGACCTCAAGTTAGCTTTACACTCAACTTCACGACTGAGACAAATGCCATACACTTAATACCATCGAATAATAAATTCAGATCCTCTCTGATGTGTTGGGGTCGTAACCCCAGCGGGAGATGCGTCACTGATCTCCCTCTGACCCCTGTGAAAGGGTGAATATGGTGGACAGTGACGATCATTGGCAGACGTGTTTGACCGATCGCCTGATCATTATATGGCCGTGTCCGCCTTTTGATGACGCAGCATAGGCCTGGTTAACTTCCTTATTTGTAGTACTAGTCCTTCAGTTTCCCCTCTTCCATCCATCCATCCATCCATCCATCCATCCGTCCGTCCATCCATCCATCCATCCATCCATCCATCCATCCATCCATCCATCCATCTATCTATCC